ATGATGGATAATGGATGGCTGATGGGTGGATGATGAATAGATGATGATGAATAGATGATGATGGATGGATGGATGGATGGATGGATGGATGACAAACGATGGCTATACTGAATGATGATGGACGAACAGCTTTAGTTCTGTGTTAATTCAATACATTTGTTTCCTTTCTCTCATCATTTTGTCTAATCCATGAATGAGTTTCTCTCATAATGGTTTGGTTTCTCTGACTAAGTTCCCTTGTGCAATATTTACTCTCTTTACTGCTGGCTGCAGTGGCTCAGTGGTCAGTGCTGGGGTCTCATCATCCCAAGGCTGTAACAATTTGAACTGTTAGGAAAGAAACCATCAGTTTGAAGAGAGCAGTTCTTGCCTCCTCCATCACATTTAAAGAGCAGAGGTTTGAGCAGAACATGGGTCGTTATGAGCCACCAATTGCTGTCACTTCGATTCCTACAAATTTCCTGGAAGTAAGGAAACAACAGCAGAGCAAATGACATTTCAAGAAAACAGAAATGACAATGAAGGACTAATGAGGGTGTTAACGAGGAGCTGGAAACCAACCGGACATCCTAATGGATGACGCTTTAAGTTTTCCAGCGAGGTTTTTATGTTTTCAACTGAAGAGGCTGAAACATCAGAAATATGATGGTCATCACACAAACCATCCTGCTGATTGTTACCAAGGAAGACACTCATCAGCTGTTCCAAACATCCCCTGTATTTGGGATCATGGTCCTGTTGGGCCCAGTTTGGTCCACTCTTCAGGTGGTGGACAGATGGACAAATTTACTCCAGAACAATTTTGTCTATAGAGGAGTTTGGAGGAACATAGAGTGACCTATATGAGTGGAGGAAGGAGTACGCAGGTCGACTACATTCTGTGTAGAAGAGGAAACCAGAGGGAGATTGGAGACTGTAAGGTTGTGGCAGGGGAGAGCGTGGCCAGACAGCATCGGATGGTTGTGTGTAGAATGACTGTTGTTGTGAAGAAGAGAAAAAGAGTAAAATCAGAGAAGAAGACCAAATTGTAGAAGCTGAAGAAGGAAGAATGTTGTGAGGAGTTCAGAGAGGAGCTGTTAAAGGCTCTGGGTGGTAAGAAAGAGCTGGACATGGGCACCAGCGACCCCCACGACCCAATAAAGGGAAGAGGCAAGCAAAGATAATGGATAGCTGGATGGAAACCTGATCCATGTCTGCTTTCCTGAATCTGCTCCAAATCTGGAGAATCAGTTCTGGTTGAGGCTCCAATATTTGTCTCGGGGGCCACCCCTGGAAATAAAATCTGCTCCTCTGTTTAGTACTCCTGGGATGTAAACAGTTCTGATGGAGCGAAGACGTGTGTGTCCAGCAGAGCAGTTCTCTGGCCGCGTCCAGCAGCTGAGCTGAGTGAAAGCCTCCTTGGCGATTTATGTAAGCTGCAGCAGTTCTGTTATCCATGTGGACCATCACATGATGACCCCACAGCAGCGGGGCAAAGTGTTTTTTGACACTTTCCCCATTTTAATCATTTCTAGCACGTTTATGTGGAGAGGCATGTGGGGTGGCCATTCCCCCCCCCACACACACACAGTCTGGGACAGACACGTCCACCCCATCCTGAGAGGGACGCGTCTGTGAACATAGAGATGAATGACATCACTCTGCTCAGGGGAATGCCTCTCAACAGGTTCTGGGGGATTACCCTGTGACTCAGGTCCACCCCTACCAACCAGGGAACGTAACCACTCGAAACTTAAGACGTGAGAGGTCAAGATGTTGGGGACTGAACCATCTCTGTCAATTCAAAAGCGTTCAATACAAAAACAAATGGACTTTATTTGTAACAGAAGACGTTTCGCTCCTCATCCCAGGAGCTTTCTCAAGTCAAAGAGCAGTGAGTGAGAGATTCAGGTTATGAGGCTGAGTGAGATAAGACACACACACATATGTAGATTTGACAATTCACATCTCAACACCTTAACAGTAGAGGCTTCTTAAAGTCTTAGTTCCTCTAATTCACAGACGAGGCCCTTCTGTTCCCATCAGGTGTGAAAACCGGCTGGGAATCAGTCTTAAAGTTGCATTATAGGTTTTTGAAAGTGGAAATCTGAGGCCTCCTCCTCTGTTAAGAGATGTTTTTTTCTCTTTTTACATAAATTGCTTCCTTCACCCCCCAAACCATTTGTCTTCTCGGTCCAAAATGTGCACATTTTGGTTCTCAAAAGAGTGTCCCTTATCTGTGAGGTGGAGGTGAACAGCTGAATTTTGTCCAGAGGAGGTGGCTCTCCTGTGTTGAGCCATGCGTCTGTGAAGAGGCTGTTTAGTTTCTCCAATGTAGAGGTCTGGACAGTCCTCGCTGCACTGGACCGCATACACTACACCACTCTGTTTGTGTATGGGTGTTTTGTCCTTAGGGTGGACAAGCCTCTGTCTGAGAGTCCTGCTGGGTTTGAAATGTACTGGGATGTGGTGTTTGTTGAAAATCCTTCTGAATTTCTCTGATACTCCAGCTTCAGATACTCCAGTATCAGAGAGATTCAGAAGGATTTTCAACAAACACAAGATCCCAGTACATTTCAAACCCAGCAGGACTCTCAGACAGAGGCTGGTCCACCCTAAGGACAAAACAGAACCAGACTTGTACTGTGCTCAAGTGAACATTTAGTCTGAACAAGCTGCTCCACATGTATGCAGGCTGCAACATCGGATGCTCCATGTTGGTTTCACTCAAAGCAGGATGACATTAGTGGGTGCACAGTGCTCCTGCAGCTTGCTCGTATAGTCGGATCAGTAGAAACGACAAAAAAAAACCTGAAACTGCCGTTGTCTATGGGTAGAGTAAAATAATAATAATCCATCCATTATCTTTTCCCGCTTCTTCTGTTTTGAGTCACAGGGGTTAAATCACAATAATGATTTCTTTTAAATGACATAAAAATAAATAAACTTCCATGTCCAGCCACAGAGCAACCTGTGGAAGTTTGACTGAAAACAAGACCCCATTTTTGGCTGCTGGATCCAGAGTCTTTACAAAACTCTGGACTGGATTTTATTATTTTTTTTTTTTTGGTCGTAAAATAAATGTGTCACTTTAAAAAATACTGTAATGTGGAGGTACATTTTTGTCAACCAAAGGCCCTTAAAGAGTTAAATAACAATAACAATTTTTTTTTTTTTTTTCAGGCTATCTAAAAGATTGACTCGTGTATTGTGGAAAAAAATACTTAAAAAATAGTAATTTTAAGTAGGTAAATAAGGTAGCCTATTTTCATCTAAAGAACTTGATTGCTCGTAAAGTTTAAGGATGATACAAGGTATAAATAATAACAAAAAATACCTAAATATTTCTAAATAAATAACAATAAAACAATTATCAAATATGCATACATTATTTAACAAAACAACTGACACAAAAAACAACATATTTGTAATTTGTTATATACATATATATATATATACATATATATATATATATATATATATATATATATATATATATGTGTGTGTGTGTGTGTGTGTGTGTGTGTTTCAAAAAATCTAACTTTTATTTCTTTTTTTCCTTTCATACAAAACAGCAGAAAAACTTTAAATTGTGTACATATCATTGCATCTATACAGTACAACAGACTAAAACTTGTGTGTGCTTTTCTTGAGGCTGCCCTCTAGTGGCAGCAACATATTATGACATGTGGCTGTGAGTTCATGCCAACCATCCCAGTGTCACCTGGACTCTTGTCTTTGAGCAGCTACAAGATGAGACGATGAAACACACTGAAGCTTATAGAAACTAACTTGTTTGTTTTGATGGTTTTTATTGTATTTATGGTCTCTGCTGGGGGGGGGGGGTACTCTGTCTCTCACACACTGACTACAGGAGAGAGGCATCATCTCCCTCGAGACCTGGACTGGAAACACAAGTATAAAATATAAAATGGATATTTGTCTGTTTAGTCCCCTCTGCTGAGTGTTTAGTTGGCAGCGAGGATCTGGTCGACCCAACCTCTCAGCTCAGTGACACGAGCATAGACAGCCGGGGTGGTGGTGGAGCAGCTGCTGCTCCCCCAGGACACAATACCAACCAGGGTCCAGACATTGTCCTCCTCACAGACCAATGGACCACCAGAGTCGCCCTGAAACACGATAAACACATGAGATGAGCAGGAAGTGAACCCATCAGGCAGGCAGGTATGTGGGCGGGGCCTAACCATGCAGGAAGTGGCTCCAGCTCCGCCGGCACAGATCATGACGTCAGAAATGTTGCTGCCCCAGTGCTTCTTGCACTGCTCGTTGGACAGCAGGGGCAGGGCAGCCTGCTGCAGGTTGTTGGGAGTGTTGGGAGCTGCAGGAGAACAGGTTAACGTTCAGAAAAGCTGGATCACCTGCTCAGGTGACCCTGAGTGCTCTACAGCATTTACTGCAGGGTTCGGTGAAATGAAACGCACCAGTGTGGTGGGTCAGACCCCAGCCTGAGGTCACACAGGTCCTGCCGGGTTCAAAGAGGTCGGAGGACTCTGCGAGGCAGACGGGGGATACGGTTTCACCCAGGCTGGCTGGGCTGGCCAGCTTAATGAGAGCAATGTCGTTGTTGATGGTGTAGGGGTTCCAGCCAGGGTGGGTGAACACCTGAAGGAGTCACAGAGAGGTGGGTGATCATGTGTCTTATGCATGTCTGTTAGCAAAATATGTCCTAAACCACTGAGCAGATTTAATGAAAGAGAGTAACCACTGGACGTTCACGTGCAACAAACATGGTGGTAACTCAGTCAGCACATACTGAGTACTAACAGATCACACATTAGCTTTGCTTCAAATGTTCGAGTACAAGGTGCAGCGTTTTTACCTTGGTAGGTTTCAGCTCCTGGACAGCCTCACTGGATCCAAAGCCTTTGTTGTGCTCTCCAGCGATCACTTTGTGAGTGGTCCTGACAGGAAACACAAGACGGGTCAGTCCATGTTCCCCTGAACCCCCCAAGACTGAAACTGTCTCTTCTGTTGGTTCTCAGTGTAAATCAGGCTGCACACGATCACAAATATTTATAGTGTCAGGGTAGGGCAGCACGGTGGCGCAGTTGGTAGAGCTGCTGCCTCTCAACAGGTTGCCCTGGTTCAAATCCCGGCCTGGGGGCCTTTCTGGTGGAGTTTGCATGTTCTCTCGGTGCTGCAAGGATTTTTTTCTGGCTACTCCGGTTTCCGGGCCGGGATTTGAACCGGCGACCTTCTCACTGTGAGGAAACAGCTATACCAACTGATCCAGTGTGCTGATACCAGGCAGCTCTCATTTATAACTGAGTCCAGCTCACAGTATCCTGCTGCCTCTGGTTAAATTGGATTCATCCGCCACAGAAAATAGTTCTTGTTTTATGTAAGTTAACTGAACTTATATATTATTTTTGTTAGTTTGTTTGTTTGTTATTTTCTTTTTACAGTTTTCAAAGTTTTTTCACAATCACTCTCCCTCCTGAGGGTCATTAGAGTCACCATGGATCTGATTCATGTCACGTGTGTGAAGGTGTAAATTGGGGTAAATATGTCTGGAGCTCTGATTCAAACTGCACTGTAAGAATGGGGAAGTTGAAAGCCGAGACCCTTAAGAGGGAGGAGAGGGAGAGATTTGCATGCGAGTTTAACTTGCATAAAAAGAACGTCTTGCCACAGTTTAACAGCTTGGAGCTTTACTTTTTTAATTTTACTTCAAACTGAGAAAGGTTCTTGGATGAGAAGTTGCCTTCAAAAAGGGAACGGCTCTGCCAAGTCCTCCATGGCTGAGAACCTACACCAACATAGTCCTCAACAACAACTTTAGCTGCTGTGCATGTTTGAAAACTTTAGCTGCTGTTGTATAAATTACTTTTTCATTACAGTGATGTTGAAACTAAGACAAAAACCATGCAACACAGTGCAGGTTTGGATCAGTCGACGCCGACTTTCAAGCCAGTTTTAAATGAAGATCTTCTGATGCCAAGAAGGTGCCGAGTTTTAGCTGTTTGGTTGATCCTTTAACACGAAGCTCTGTGGGGTTTCATGCCGTAATGTGAGATGTTTCGAGGCGTATCAGCACTCGGGGGCTGCGTTGGGATAAACTCACAGCTTTTAGTCAAACTGACTGAATTATACACAATTTACTATTTGTCCTGATGCATGCTCAATAATCCTATTATTATTACTCCTGTAAATTTACTATTTGATTATCTTGATTAATATTTCATTAATATTTTCAGATCTCTCCAGTTTTAGCTTCTCTCCATTGGCTCCCTGTCAAATCCAGAATAGATTTCAAAATCTTACTTCTAACCTACAAAGCCCTCAACAACCTGGCTCCATCTTATATTACAGATCTTCTTGTTCCATATTTTCCTAACAGAGCACTTCACTCTCAGACTGCAGGTTTACTTGTGGTTCCTAGAATTTACAAAAACAGAATGGGAGGCAGATCTTTCAGTTATCAGGCTCCTCTCTTGTGTAACCAACTTCCAGTTTCTGTCTGTGAGGCTGACACATTGTCCATTTTTAAGATTAGGCTTAAGACTTTCCTTTTTGATAAATCCTTTAGTTACTTGGGTTTCCTGAGCTGTCCTTTAGTTATGCTGCTATAGGCTTAGACTGCTAACAGACAGACATAGGAACAACAAGGTATGTGAGTGCAGCGTTGTGGTCGGTGTGAACTCAGAGTCTTGCACAGGTGTGTGTTCAGGCTGAGTTGTGTTGACCAACCTGACGTTGCAGTGAGCGGCCGTCACCACCCAGTTGTCGTTGATCAGAGAGCCCCCACAGAAGTGGAAGCCGTTGGATTGCTGCAGGAAACACCAGACACTGAGAGACAGGAACAAGAAGTGGCTCCTGTTGCTCAGCTGAGTCAGCTCACCTGCAGAGACACCTGCCAGGGCCAGGAGTGAGGCACCGCCTCCTCACCGTTCACTATGCGGGCGTGGCCGGTCACCTGGGGGGGATGGTGGGGACACCACAGCCTGAGCAGATGGTAAAGGACACTTTTATTGAACGCATCTGACATCAGAGACATTTCAACTGTCATCTGTAAAGCAGGTTTTGAACCTGCAACTCTGACTGAAACAGGACGGCAGCTGAAATATCCATCTCGTCATATTATGTTAAAGTAAAATATTGACATTAAAGTATAAACATTGAGAAAAATAATCAAAATATTAACAATAAAGTGAAAATATTGGGAAAAAAAAGCAATAATAAAGACTATTTAGATGAAGGGCAAGACAGTGAAGATCAATTTGCAAAGTTCAGTCAGAAACTTCTCCTGAATTTGCTCCACAGTTTTCTGTATTTAGTGCCACGCTGAAGAAATATAAAATGAAGTGCACGTTTGAGATTAAAGTCAAAATGTTGTGAATAAAAATAAAACACTGGGAGCAGATAATACTTAAACAATTTTAGAAAAAAAAGTCAAAATATTGAGAATGAAGGTAAGGTTAGGAAAAATAAGTCAAATTATTCAGACTAAAGTCAAAACATTAATGAAAAATAAAATAAAAACATGGGGACTATTTAGAATAGAGTCAAAATGATGAAAACATTCAAAATGATGTATTTCAAGCTGGTTTTAAGAGAAAGGGGGAAGGGCATGTTTGTGCACTCTGCTGCCCCCTGCTGACCATCTGCAGAATGCTCACCCTTCTCAGTGAGACATGCTTCATTGTTTCATTGCTGTGAAAGTGGGTAAAGTTTAAGTTAAGCCGTAAAAACGACTGAACTGAGATTAAATTTAAACTGAAGCAAGACATGCTCTTGAGTCTCACCGTAAGCAGCGCCAACGAAGGCGAGGCAGGAGAGGATCCAGAGGAAAGCCATGACGACGAAGATGATGATGCTGAGGAGAACGGTGGTTTTATGAGGAAGGCTGCGGGGCTGAAGCCAATCAAAGCAGCCGAAGGTTCAGGTGTCAGCTGCTTATCAGAGCTGAGGCTGAGGTGGCGTTCTCACGGGCTGCACGCCCCCAACATGCTGCTCTCTGACTGGCTCATGTCTAAAGTTTTATCTTAACCTTATTTTTCCTCCAACTGATGTCTCAAAGTGTCCTTCAACAAACTGGCTGCACAGAGAAACTGAACCACTTTTCAGAATAATTACAATAAATGAGAAGTAAGTGACATCATCTGATGTACTTCAGGTTCCACTTTAATCATATTCATGTTCTGTGTAGTCAGGCTTTAAATCTTACATTAGATGTTTGGACATAAAAAAAAAAGTCTTCCAGCAGAAACTCAAACATCAAGATACAAAGAAAAAGACACTTTTATGCAACTAAACCATATTTGCTCACATTTATAGATCAACCCCACAAAATTATAAACTGATTCTAGGTATGAGAAAATGAAACAAAACTTTAAAGAAAAGAACAGCTGAGACAAATAGCAGGATTTATTCATTTTACTTTATTACATGCAGGTGAGATGACAATTATCTCTTGTATGTCTTATGGCTCCAACATCTCAAATGTTGATCTGGTTTCTGAACGCAGAATGAGACATTTGTTTTTTCACATTGATGAAGATTTCAGCACGATGACCTGTTGCTGCAGCAGTTAGTTTGTGAGCTGTTGACACAGTGATAACATCCTGAACAGTCAGCAATGAGCTGAGAAACAGCTGCTGAGGGAGGAATAACAGCACAGGAACAAAGACAAGATCACTAATAACTCTAAAACAAGCCCAGTCTAAGCAGTACAGAGGGAAAAATGAAAAATTCATCCAGAAACTGGTTTCAAATAGTGCATCAGCCCTAAAAACATCTACTTTTTACAGCAAACAATACAGCAAGTTATTAGAAATGCAGCTGACAGAAAAAAGACAGAGAAGATCTACGGATGCAGTTAGAGAGGACATGGAGGTAGTTGGAGTGAGGACAGAGGATGAAGACGACAGAGTGAGATGGAGGAGAATGACTCGCTGTGGAGACTCCTGAAGAGAGAAAAGCCAGAAGATGAAGAACAACAAGAAGAAGAAGAGAATAGAATTCACAATCTTACTTCTAACCTACAAAGCTCTCAACAACCTAGCTCCATCTTATATTACAGATCTTATTGTTCCATATTTTCCTAACAGAGCGCTTCACTCTCAGACTGCAGGTTTACTTGTGGTTCCTAGAGTTTACAAAAACAGAATGGGAGGCAGATCTTTCAGTTATCAGGCTCCTCTCTTGTGGAAACAAATTCCAATCTCTGTCCGTGAGGCTGACACATTATCCAGTTTTAAAACTAGACTTAAGACTTTCCTTTTTGCTAAATCCTATAGTTAGGGTCGGCTTGGGTTTCCTGAACTGTCCCTTAGTTATGCTGCTATAGGCTTAGACTGCTGGAGGACAAACTGACCACATTTTTCACTCTGCTACTGTCTTTACTTACTCTGTTCTACCTGTTTTGTATTTGTAATTATTTTTCCTATCCTTAACATGAGTTTTTTTTGTCTTTCAGATACACCTGGACCTATACCTGGACCTTTCAAACCAGGTCAAAGCAGATGGCCACTTGTCCTGAGCCTGGTTTTGCTGGAGGTTTCTTCCTTTTAAAAGGGAGTTTTTCTTTCCACTGTTACCACTGTGCTTGCTCAGGATGGGAAACTGCAACAAAGCCAAGATTCAACTTGTCTGCTGGATTCCTTAGATAGAGAACTTTACTAATTGGCTTTTCTGTGTATGTGAATGTTTCTGTAAAGTGCCCTGAGACAACTTTGTTGTGATTTGGCGCTATATAAATTAGCTGAATTGAACTGAATTGAAGAATAACAAGAAGAAGAAGAATGGTAAATGGACTGTACTATATAGCTCCTTTCTATCTAATCAAGATACTCAAAGCTCTGTACAACAATCTGTACCTCATATACCCATTCATACAGCACTCTGCTATATCTATACAAATAATAATCAGAGCTTTATCACATTCATGCACTGATGGGACACACATCGGAGGCAACGAGGGGTTCAGTGTCTTGCCATGGGACACTTCTGCATGTGACTGCTGGTGGAATCAAACCCCCATCTCTTGCAATGGAGGATGACTGCTCTAACCACTCATCCACAGCCGCCCCAGGAAGAACAAGAACAAGAAGAACTGTGAGGATGGTGCCCTCTTGTCGTGTGTTCTGCCCCTGCACTCCCTGGTGTCCCATCTTGTAATTAACCCTTCCCTGTGTCACCTGAGTTTTCTTTTTATTTGTTTGTGTTTATGTCTTGTCAGTCTCGTCTGTCTCTGTATATAAGTCTGCGTCCTTCTGTTATTTGTTGCCTGGGTGTTGTCTGGTGAAGTCTCCTTGGTTCGTAGTATTTCTACGTGTTTCCTGGATATGTAAGTTTCGACTGCCATGGCAGCTCATTTATTTTGTATTATTAAAGTGATTTAGTTTTACTTACAGGTCCCAAAGTCCTGCCTGCATCTGGGTTCAACCACCATCTTCAGATTATGACAAAATGCCCAGACCAAAATATGAACCCAACAGGCAGATGACTTGGGCCGAGCAACTGGCCTAAGAAGCCGCTTGGACGATCCGCTGGGAGCGAGCGCAGGAGGAGGAGTCCGTTATATGATGGAGTGGGTTCCGGACTGAACCTGTCCGGAGACCGAGATGCCACAACCTGAAGGTGGAGATCCTGCTGACTTGAAAATAAGTTGGTGGGAGAAACGGTCCTCAACGTCTTCCTTCCGCCTGCTAACATTATCAGCTGAGGTCAACAACTGCTCATCTCTACTATACAAAGTGGGAAAAGTTGGTATCCAGGGCCAACTGAGCTACTCTTACATCTAGGCATTTGCTTTAGCAACAGCCAGGGCTGCAGCCTGCTTGGCATGCCAATAACTCTTAGTTGCCCCCTGAGCTGACGGCCCAATAAGATTTCAATGAGACTTGAATGCCCCCCTCACCCAGTGTGTCCACCACTGAGTTGGATGACTGTCATGAGAATAACCAATAACCTTGCGGCCACAGCTGAGCAGCAAAGGAAGAGGGGAACAAGTCCCACTCTGACTCAATGTCCCTGACCTCTACTGGGATGCAGTTAAACCTCTGTTAGAAGTGGGTGCTGAAGATCTTTCTGGCAGATTGTTCTGCCAGGTGTTTCCAGCAAATTCTCACTTCACATTTGGGTCTACTGGGTCTGTCTGGTATCTTTCCCAGTCATCTGATCCAACTCACCACCAGGTGGTGATCAGTTGTCTGCTCAGCTCCTCTCTTTACCAAAGTGACCAAAAACAAATGGCTGCAGATCCAGTGATACGTGTACAAGGTCAATCGTTGATCTAGGGTGTTTTGGTGCCATGTGTACTTATGGACACTTTTGTTTAAACATGTTTTTTGTTGGGGACAAACGGTGACTAGCAAATAAGTCCAACAACAGAACACCATTCACGTTCATATCATGGATGCTGTTTCTTCCAACCATGCCCCTCCAGGTTATACTGTTGCAACTGCCATCAGCAGAATAAAGGAGTCTCCTGCTGGAGCCCTTACAGCAGCTCTATTAAGGACTCCAAGAAGGCTGGGTACACTACTGCTGCTAGACACAAACGACAGTTAGAGCCCATACCACTACCTAAAGGCACAGGGAAGATACTCTTTGTTCTACTGGGAGAAACTGCTATGAACCAGCACCAATTCAATGGACTATAAGTAAGCCCACTCAAGTGAGCTTGAGTGTCTCTCACTCTGTCCAACTCCAGAATGGAATTGGATTGAGCTCCTCTCAAGGAAATATATTCCAGAACCCATTTTGTGCCTGATTATAAACCAGATTATATCTAGTTTGTACATCTCCCTCATCCACAAGATCAGACTCCTTCCCCACCTGAGAGGTGAATGATGTGATGATGATCCAAGAACCAGCTGTGGTTAAAAAAAGGGGGGGGGGGGGGCAGAGCACCAAGCCTCAGTCCAGCCAGCCAACCAACTTTCCATCAATCCAAGCTGTTAGGGTTTATTTGTATTTTGTTTACTCTACTATTTTTTCAGTCCTCAGGATGAGTTTGTGGGCATTCTCTGCAGCTGTGCTACCTCACCTGACAGCTCTTACCCAGCTGTTTCTGATGGTTTCATGATGGTAATGACAGCAGGAGTATTTAAAGCTGCGTTGAGACATTCAGTGTTGTAACAATAAACATCACTTGGTGATCTCCCTTGAGTTCATCCAGCACATTGATATGTTAGGATTCTTGTTTCTGCACTGTCTCACTTTCTGCATGACATGTTGGTGGTGCTGGTACTCTCACAGCTGTGACAGTTTATCATTCCACATCCTACTTAAGACTGAGTTGCATCTTTTTCCTCACCCTGAATAAAGTCAAAATATGGAACATATATGTGACTAAAAGGCAAAGTCTTTGTGGTTTTTTTGGGAGGTGAGGAGGGGTAGAGTTTAGAACTTATATTTATATATATTATATAATGTATTATAATTACCGGTATTTGTTGTTATTATGTGTGTTGGTACTTGTATATTTACATCAAATGATGTATAAACATGCATGTATATATGCTTATGAGGTTATCAATACTATTTTTATACGGTACTTATACGTATTCTTTGTATGAAAAATTATTATAAATCCATATGAATACCATATCAAGATATTAATGCATTGCTAATATAATATTAGTATATAATAATAATTAATGCATAATACTGTGTAGGAAATAATATATTGATTAAGGATAAAGGGTAGGATGAAATAAGTTTAAACTTTTTCCTAATACTTTTCAAACAGACAAAATGCTGGCAAGTTATTTATTTATGCACTGTTAATGATTACGTATTTTATTATAATTATCTTTTGAGTATCTTTCTACTTCTGCACAGGTATATTT